CCTGAATACTTTAGTTTTTAGGCCACCACAATCTTTGCGACAGACGAGGACACCAAGGAAGGCCAGCTGGTTGTTCTATTCTTCCTCCATCGTAAACTGGATGTTCGGGAAGACGCTGTTGAGACGTTCCTTGAACGTGAACAGCTCCTGAAGTTCTGTCTCAGGACGTGCTTCACGTTTGACGGAAAAATCTATAAGCAGGTGAACGGGACACCGATGTGTTCACCGATTTCGGGACTCATAGCCGAGGCGGTCCTACAACGGCTGGAGTCGCTGGTCTCCCAACACCACAGACCGAAATTCTGGGAGCGGTATGTGGATGACACCTTCGTCGTCATCGAACGGGCTCAGGTGCTCACGTTTGCCGTTTGCACACACCATGTGCCTTAATCTGGCGATTCATGGACGCCTGCATTCTGCCCCTCGTTCTCTACTGTTCTCGGGTTGTTCTTCCCTCATTACTTAAAAAAAGGCCTGTTTATTTTTAAAAGTACCCTCCGAATGCTCCCTTCAGCTGCCCGTATTTCCTATGTTCCTTTTTTTGGCCGATACTATAATACAGCTACACTATAATACGGTCAAGCCATTTGCTGATCGTATTCTTAATGAGGTTGCTCATCCTCTCCACTCTGAACTAATGGCCGCGAAGTCTTTCCGTATTATTCGCCGAAACTTCCGTCATATCTCCTGCGGTAAATAGGCCTATCAGCACTCTATACTTCCATTCCTAGAACGCTACCTCACAGAAAGCCAGAAGTTGAAATCCGACCTGTCTCCCTAACGGATGCGGATAGCATTTAAACCTTCAAACTTTGAGTATTCTATGACCTCTTGCCTTACCTTATCCCTTGCTCTCTGTGAATGGACTCACTTTTCTGCTGAAAATTTTCGGTATCTATCTTCTCTCTCTCTCTCTCTCTCTCTCTCTCATCTTCCTCTCCTCTTCCCTTGCACAACCTGCTCTACAATGCTCATCTCCGCTTGTTGTCCATCCCACCTCAGGCGACCGATCAGCTAGGCGGTGGCCTGTTGCTGACTGTCGGGGAGAGAGTGAGGTCGGCCCCCAGGGCGTTTCGTTCCTTACTATAAACAATTTGATGCGCTTGAAGCTATCGCGGTGCGCTAAAAGCAGTGGCTTGGAGGGTTGCCAACCGACGGGATAACTTGGACACCGCAGTCGGCACAGAGTGTGTCTTGTAGTGCGGAGTGGAGTGGCTCACTGTGGGCTGAGAGTCAGGCTCA